CAAATTAGCATGCGTGTAAATTCAGTTGAAATTTTCGAGTTACTCGATCGAGGCGTTAAACACGAAAATTTTGCCGTATTTGACAATTAACTCAAGTTTTTGGGTTCTGTTGCGGCTTGGTAGCCCCAGAACAGCATGCGTTGTCATTTACAATTTAGTTTACCTCATTACATTTTTAACTGCCTATATGCTTTGTACTCGTACGGGAATGCAGTGTGAAGTTGTGTGGCAAGTTTGAAAAACTTTCTCGATTTAAAGAACTGAAAAACTCAGTCAAACTTGTCACCGACATTTCACTGCACTTTCGAAGGCAAAACGTCGTCACTGCTCGAGTGTTCGTTGAAATGAACTCGTTAAAAGTGTGCCCTAGCGTCGTATTTAGGTGTTTATAGCTGCCAAAGTTCCCCTGATTAACTTGTTTGGATGTAACTTCGTCCATTTCGCCCTGAATAATAACCCAGTTGTGCCTACGAAATCTTGACCGGGTTTAACGAAGGCAGTGAAAGGCAGAGCTTCGGTATTGACTAATCATGGCGATTAAATGCGTACATGTCTTGCGTATTAAGTCCGCTCTAAACAGCGCCTTGTGTCTGGTAATTTCACACGCTTTTACTGCGCGCCAATAACGGAACGGTCTCGCAAAAAAACTGTGGCCACTTTTCCTGTTATGATTGTAACACGATGGTAATGAAAGACTGGTTTTTGTACCCGAAGACTTCTTGCCATGAGTATTCTTACCTTTTTTCTGCGATCGTTCAGTTATACTTCCAAAAAATGGTTTAAAAGCTGCCATTATTTTAACTTAAATACATAGACATAAATTATTCAAACGCGCTGATGGCGCTTTCAGCATTCCCTCCGCCATTTTTCATCCGTGGCTTCTCCCACATTAACGGTTCTCTGCACGCCATCTTACAACCTGCACATTAAATGGCTCACCAATACCGCTGTTGAAGCGACTTCAATTACACCTGTCACGTCATCATTCCTGCCGTCATCCCATCACTACCATTATTCCCATAAGACTAGCCTCCTCCTGCCTATATTTTACAAGCAACTGCTTTCCATTTGCCTAGCCATTATTGGCGTTGCAGCTTTTTGAACAACAGCTGCTCCATTTGTCACTGTTACAGCTGTTGACTTAGGCCTCATCAGGGCGGCTGCAGACGTAAGTGCCCCCGAGGGAAGGTGGCGGCTGCGCGCCTCGGTAAATACAGCTGCCGGCTGGTGCTGTAAATGCTGATACTGTTGCTGTAAATCTTGATATTGATGCAGTAAATATAAATACTGATGCTTTAAATGTTGATATGGAAAGTGGACAAGTTTACGCTGACGCTGTTGTTGTTGAATATTGATATTGATGCTGGAAATATTGATACTAACGCTGTAAATGCTGATACTGATGCTCTAAATGTTTATACTGTTGCTGTTCATGTATATACTGACGTTGTTTATTTTATACTTATGCTGTAAATATTTATATGGATGCTGTAAATGTTAATACTGCTGCTGTAAATGTTGATACTTATGGTATGAATGTTATTACTTCTGCTGTAAGTGTTAATACTGCTGCTGTAAATGTTGATACTTATGGTATGAATGNTCACCAAACCCGCCACATTGTTAACCACAAAATTCACAGTCGCCCAGCTTCTTTAGGAGAAGCGACTTTACATCACCAAACCCGCCACATTGTTAACCACAAAATTCACAGTCGCCCAGCTTCTTTAGGAGAAGCGACTTTACATTTTGTTTTAGAGAAGACCCTCTGTTTAAACGATCAACCTGACGTCGCCGCTACGCCTTCTTGCTTGTCAAAACAATGGCCGTTTGCTATGCAAATGTGCACGCGGTTATTGTTATGCCGAGGTGTGTTAAAGATGCTCGCATGGGTACACCTTGACAATGTATTCACTGCAGCCTCCGTCCGGACTGGCTTAGAATTATTTCGCTGTTCTTTTAAAGAAGTCTTAACGGACCACACGAATAATGACCGCAGCCTTGCTGAGCTCCTGTGAAGGTCTGGTGTTGGGGTGGTTTTTGTACGAGTTGATGAGTGGCTATGGGTTCCATGAACTCTGTTGTAAGCTCTAAAACTTGTGGCATTTGTGGAAGCTAAAGTGTGCGAAGTTGCGCGAATGCTACGACGAATGTTTATCCATTTATCAGATTTTATTAGAGGGAAAAGTTTTTATCTTATTTACTCTGAGCCTGAAATTTCGTTTCTTTGTCTGCGTTTAAACTTGAAAAAATTATACTTTCCTCACGAGGCTTGGTGAACTCGTATCGTAGTGAATAAAAAGCGTAAATTGATGTCTTGAAAACCAATACGTTAATAGCCCTACTCTCAGTATCAATAAATCCTCCATTGTTTGTTTATCGCTCTACGCGTCTAAAAAAATGTCCTCCCGTTTCTTCAATTCTTCCTCTATATATGAAAGTGAGAGAAGAAATAATGCAAGAGCCTGCTGCTAAATTGTAATTTTCATCCCATATTTCGCGCTGTATAACTCTGACAGAAATTATCTTTGTGAGGGGAATGGTTCTCTTCGTTTGTCGTTATACCGGCGCAGCGCACGACACGACAATTATCCCAGGAGATGAATTCGAAATGTACTTGATGGCTGCATCCGGCGCGTTCATTACACCCTTTGTCAACACATACTTGACCGTCCGTTAATCATATTTGTACCTAAATGTCTGGTAACGAGAGTCACCGTCATTAGACAGAGGGTTAACCTACCTGACTACGTAGTACAAAATGTCATCAATGCTATTCGATCCTAAAGGTCTGAACAACGAGACTTATCTAACGAGTGTTAAACAGTTGCGTTAAGTCGTCTCTTTGAAGGTACTTAATAGGGTTCACCATTCAACATTCTACGTCAACTCTTTAGGTGTTTAATTAGGCGAATTGATGATAGTTGGAGATTGCTTTAAATCAAGAACGTTAAAGACGAGCCTTTACGGCTCTAAAAACAGTGCCCAAATACAAAGCCTTAACTGCTCTAAACAACACTTTCATTAACATCTAATTCCCATTTCCATACTTATCATAATGGCAGGTATAGACTGAGCGTTCGCTCTTCACATCAAGAGGCATTATGGTTTTAATTACCTCATTTCTGGTGCATGATCCACCTGCACCAAGCTGATGACCGCCTCGCATGGCCATGACATTCTGCTCATACTTTTTGCCATTGGACATTTGCACGACACTGCGACTGTCTAGTTCGAGACTGCAACGCGGCCCATTTGGTGAAAGTAGCTTAGATCAACGTGTTATTACAATGCTTACTGTTGTCATTTGCTACTGATCTTCCAATTTGTTAAGAAGGACTTTTCATCGTTACCCTCATGATTACATACGGGAGAACAAGAGATTTCGTGTGTTCACAAACGGAAACCATGAGTACGTGTCCATAGTTGGGCATGATTTCTAACAGGACTTAGTTTACTGTAGTGATTGACTTGGTTTACTGTTACCTATGCCTAGACTAAGCAGCAAATAAGTAAGGTTCTCATGGAAGCATGCGTAATGAGGCTTAAAGTTGGATTTTCCCCCATATTTTTATTACCGTACCTGTAACTCTATCGGAATTTAAGACAAAAATATTTTAAAAACTCTTAGCCTATCGTTTCGCAATTCCTTTTTCTGGGTCTCTCGAGCCAACTATTGCTCATTAACACCTGCTATTGCGAGCAAACACCGTTTCGAATCTTCAGTTTAAATCTATACCTATTACTAGAATAATTTAGGTTCCAATTTCATTCCAGTTTCATTTGGAATTCTGGAGCAAAACTTATTCGGCTAGGGTGCCAGCGGCAATGTCTACGGGCCTCCTAGGGAATATTCTCAAGCATCGCACACGGTCCCCAATTCAATTATTTCAGAGGATTTTTCCGATACTCTTTTGCGTGGGATTTTTGGTGCTGTGTGCCGATGGCAATCTTGGGATTTGCCGCGCGATCATTTCCGCTCTCTGCTTCGGCTCTTGGGCTCCTGAAGAGGCCTGCAAGTGCAGCGAGATGTCGTTGTCTGCTGCACACTTCCGACTCAGCCTCTCCGCGCCTCGCTCAGCGATTACGACTCGACATAGCATTGCTTGTGCACTTGGGCAACGCTGGAGTATCAGCGAATATCAGCGGTTGTAGTCAGGCAGGCGATTGGCGTCCAGGGCTGTCCCTTTATGTACTTTCCTTTTTGGGACGCGATGGTGGTCATAATTATTATGGCACTCCTCGTATGTTCAGAAAATGATACCCAAGGTTTATGTTTCTATTTCTGTCGCAGTTTTTATTGTTTTCTTCAGATTTTACTGCTATCCAATCTTAATGTTCATCTGAAAAAACTAATCGTGAGAAAATTATTATAATATTTATTACATGTAAATAAAAATGAAGCTTGATTAAGCGCTCACTAAGTAACGTTGTGCGAGCTAATAGGGAAAATTCTCTGCAACAGATTTCTACTGTTTTATATTCAATAATGGTTTGATACCAGGTTATTTCTTGCATAGCTAATCCTTTACTTACTGATACTCGTGATAACAGAAACATGAACGGATCTTTAGTGACGATCAAAATTAATGTATGGTAATTTTACCAATTCAATCGGGTTCTCTGAGACAAGGAAGAACAAGATTGTTCTGGATTTATTTTGATGCAAATTTTGCTTGTATACCTCGGTCAATTTATAACGTGGATATCATTTACTTTTATGTGGAGTTGAATTCTGCTAAATGGGTTCTATCATTTAGATTCTTTATATTAGCCATATATAGTAAACTTTACTTATACTGGAGTATTATCATTACATATTTCACTTGTGCACACCCTGATATCAGAATAACAAATCGACAGAAGAAATATTCAAATCTGTTAGTCATCTTTTCAGAAGGTTTTTGAAATAAATAATATATATAATAATTCATTATATGAAATAATGAATAACTTGAAGGTTTTTTTCTTGTGCAGCCGAGCGACAGCGTGAGGTCAGCATGTCACGTGTACCTAAAGACTCAACGAGCACCAACAGCAGCAACAGCAACAACAACAACGACAACAGCGACAACAACACGTACACCGCAAACGGCCGCGCGTTTGTCGCGTCTACGAACTCCTACACTCCACCCCCGTCGCTGCCTCAACCTATACACAACTACTACCCTTCTGTTGGGGAGAACGGGGCGGTCAGACGCTCGAAGGGGAAGCACCCTCAACTAGGAAGCCCCATGGACCCCAGCGGGGCTCAGCTGCTGAGCGGCAATAACCCTGGGGTTCCTTTACCTCCCCAGCAACACGTGCAGCAAGATCCTCATCTCCAATACATGGGGTCTAAATACGCACCCAATTTACCACCCAGATATTCCCCGCCGTCTGGGGAGGGTGAGACCGGGGATGTCCCGGAGGATCCGCCGTACTACGTACAGGATCTCTCCAGAACTCGGACATTAGGTGAGTTACTCCGTAGGGTTCCTTTCTGTTCACATATGATTAGTTTTGCCTGTAATTACGTGAATTCTTCATTGATTTTATTCTCCATAACACTTGGACGGTATTGTTTTAGACGTTGGGTGAGACGTATCGGGTGAACTCTTCGAGTTACGTTTGCATATGCCGCTACTCTGCCTAACCACTAGGCAAGTAGCAGAAAGCATAACACTAGCACAAGCATGATGCAAGAATGATTCAAACAGCAGTAAAGCATAATACAAGCAGCAGATAAGCCTAACGCAAGCAGCACAACACCGGCGCACAAAGGCCGCATATAAGTGAGCCGCGTATACTGAGCACCAGCAAGTTTTTGGCTGTGCAGCCCAGACTGCTCTATTATTGAGCAATTTGCGTGGCGCTGAGGAGAGCCCCGGGTTTCCTTGCCAGCAATGAAGGCCGTCGGGTGCAATTTTGCTTCTCTTTTTATTTGTATTTCGTCTGATGGTTAAATTCAAGATGGAGGTAGGGTACACGTGTCGTGTCTAACGTCTATTTCAGTCGCTTGAGAGTTCAGCGATTTCAATGTCACTGATTTCTATTTGGTTTGAAAGTGAGATACAGTGGAATGAACTGTGCATGCAGCCTCTATGTAATAAATCCTGATTAAGTCTAATAGGCATGTTGGTATTGACTGGAAATGCGTGACCATAACCTTTTGCATTCTGCAGACTACCACTCCATTCTCTTCTGCAGTTAATACGGGCTTTTAAAGTTGTGTCTAGTTGCTATTTGGATGGTTGATAAACCGTTCAACTTTTAACACTTGCATAAAATTTAACCCAAGCAAGCTCAACCTAAATTGCTACTAAAAAATTCGTTAGAAACACATTGTAGAAATGTTTCTCTGAAAGGCATTTAAAATTGTTTCTTTGTTTGACTTTCATTGCTCATAGAACATAAAATTAGAAAGAAACGACCTATAGAATAAATGTTCTGATTGCAGCCTAAGTTTCACACACATAGTGGCTAGATGAAATTGGGGAAACACAAAAAAAAATTTATTCCGATGTATATCGACCTTTTTCGGCAATTATATAGCCTCAATTGTCCGAGGTATTGATTCGTACAAATTGTGAATTGTTTCCAAAAGAATTTAAACCCATTCTTCAGTTGAACTCTCTTCAACCCTCTCAGCCAAACCCAGTTTAACCCTCTTTCGACCTTTTTCAACCCTCTCCAAGCGTACCCTCGGCCAGAGGTCGGAAACAGGGTAAACGATTATTCATCAGATAAAATCACATTTTTCCACTGCTCGAGGGACCAATTCTGCAAGGTTTTTACACCACTTTAATCTCTTTGAAGCATTGGCAATTGAGACTGGAGGTTTTCTAAGAGCAGCTCTTCCTTAGGATACAAATTTGAGCAGCTCCCGCCAAACAGTTTTTATGTAAACTGGGTTTTGTAGGTGTCGATTGTGGTTTGCTATAATTTTAAGAACCGGTGTCTTTTGATTATGCATAGTAATTTGTTTTAGAGACCGCCGACTACTCTCAGACAACTTCGACTGTCGGCCAGACCTGGACTTTGCTGAGGGCGGATTTTCCTTTTCTTTCAAAATTAGTCATTATTTTGGAGACAGTACCTCTAGAAACTTCAATCATTCAGGAAGTTTCTGTCACTCTATAACCTGTCATACGAGCACCAACAATTTGGCCTTTTTGAAACTCGGAGAGGCTTGCCATTTTTAATAATTTTAGCTATAAAAATTTTAGGGGAAAATCTCTAAATGCATAAAATATCAACTAGCAGCAATAATACATTACCAATAAAACTATGAACAGTAAATGTGTCAAGTTTTTATTGCTTAAAACGTTTTAAAAAAATTATGACCTCAAAATGTCGGGCGTTTCCCTTATCTTGTCCAACCCTCGGCCATGACCAATACCAGTAACCATGACGCATCAAGTAACCATTACGCATCAAGTAACCATGACGCATCAAGTAACCATGATGCATCAAGTAACCATGACGCATCAAGTAACCATGACGCATCAAGTAATCACGATACATTAAGTAATCACGACACGTCAAGTAATCACGCCACATCAAGTAATTATGTCACGTCATATAATCAGGACACATCAATTAAATGATGACTTCGATTGTTGTGATTGAAGCAGCCAAGTAACGATGCAAATCAAAACACACTAAAAGATATCGTGTTCCCCGTGGGTTCTCCGAGCCTTTATTAATTTTTAGTTTTGTATTAAAGGATCTCAACATCAGTCACGCACCAGAGTAATGTCTGGAATAAGTGCCGGTGGTTGTTACCGAACTGAAATAGAATGTGAAGATTCGTCGTATAACCCGCGTGCTTCGTGTAGCAGCAACGACTAAATATACAAGTGTTTCGTTTTTGTGCCTAAACTACGATCTGTTCGGTCTTTTCGCTGTACTTCCTAACGGGGCGAGTCAAATCCACGAATAATAAAACTAAATTGAGATCTCTTCTTAAAGATCAGACATAGAATTATACCTTAAAAGCATCAGTTCCGAGCAATTTTGTAGAAGGTGGTAGCGAAAAGACAAGTACTGGCTCGAAGCTTGATTCATACTTCCAATGGTTACGTATTTTTGAAAGGTAATACTTCAATCGAAAACGAATTGACGGCTGTAATGTAGTTGAGAATAAACCTTCCTATAGACCACAGATGATTTATTATCTGATTTATACCTAGAAATTGAATAGAAACCCAATTTTGTTAAGGTTCTGATGTTCGTCAAAGTTCACTCCTTTGGTGTATATAGCTGAAATTTTTGGAAGAAGAAAAATCACTAAACCTTATTAATATTCGAAGAAGCGCGCGTACACATTTATAATCCATTCATGTCACAGCGATGTTTAAACGTGACCTCTATGCCCGTTTCAAAATTCTCGACGCCCTCGCCGTCGCTCAAGTAATGGCCTCTCAAAGCAACAAAGGACGGAAGGGATTCGGTCATCCGAGGAGCTGATAAATCTGACAGCTTTCCTGTATCTCGGGCCAGTCATTTCTGCCGCCGCACGACGTTAAAGAAAAGAGATTGATCCGAGGGTATAGTGCCTCTCGGGGCTGTCACAGCCACATATGAGTCCTATTGATGACACAATACGCGTTCCAAAAGATGGCACGATCTCTGTCTGCTTCTGCATTATTGATGATGTCCGCACGTGGGCTGACTTCTTGCCAGCGTCCGAGGCTGCATTCGCTGCACATGGCCTCAGGTCGCAAGCTTTCCGCCCCGAATTCTGCTTTATTTTGTGTCTGTTTTCCTTGCGCATTTTGTTTTTTTTTTACTTTATTCTTTTTTTTTGTGCAAGACTCTTCGTTCTTAGCTGCGGAGCAAAATTCTCCTCAGTAATTATATAGCGATTTTTTAACTCTCTTGTAGACTTGAATTCAACTCACTTTACTTGAAATACGTTTTTCAGTAACAAGTCCTGTAGATATTGATGGATGCAGGATTTTTCTAATTTTTGAAGTTCAGAAATAGATCGTCGTATTGTCAATGTTCTGAATTGGAAAATTAAGAGTTTTGAAAAAGGCTCAGTCTTCTTTAGTTCAGTATCTGTTTGTGCACCTTTAAAGCTTATTTTTTTCTACAACATTCGATTTTAGTTTTTGAAAATAAGCTGACTCATTGGGGTGCATTCCATCTCCGCGTATTTCAACTATATTAGTTCATTTAATGAGCTACGTATGGTCTATCTCGTGGAATGCAGGGCGATGGAAAAAATTAGGCAAGATATTGTAACATTTGAAATTGTTTAAAAAGTTATATTCTTTTCGATTCCATTCTATTTGATGTCCATACACATTACATATGTTATTGCTACAATTTTGCGCATAATTCTGCAAATTTTTCGCCGATGCAGCTTCAACGTTTGTACGCATTAAAAGAGAATATCTTGCCTCTATCCGCTTCATATTTATTAGCTTTCCCACCTCCCCTAGGATAGGGATAGCGGCGCACAGTGATCATGCCCCCCAGTCTGCAGCGCGTGTCGCCCCCGTGTGCATACGCGACATCATCCGCGGCCCCCGCGCTGCATGCCAATGTGCGCACGTGTCGACACGTGTGTCCCGTCTGGTGCCCGCGCTTGTGTCAGTCTTGTGAATGTGTTAGTGTCGGCGCTTGTATCGGCGCTTGTGTCGCGCTTGTGTCAGCGCTTGTGTCGGCGCTTGTGTCGCGCTTGTGTCAGCGCTTGTGTCGGCGCTTGTGTCGCGCTTGTGTCAGCGCTTGTGTCGGCGCTTGTGTCGGCGCTTGTGTCGGCGCTTGTGCTGCGCTGGTGTCGGCGCTTGTGTCGGCGCTTGTGTCGGCGCTTGTGTCGGCGCTTGTGTCGGTGCTTGTGTCGGCGCTTGTGTCGGTGCTTGTGTCGGCGTTTGTGCTGCACTTTAGTCGCGTTTTTTGCCCGCGCTTGCGTCCGTGCTTGTACCTGCTGTTGATTCTCGTCTGCGCCGCTGTGGGATATTCGCGTATTATTGCCTCGCAATTCTCATTTCACTCGTATTTTTCAACCCAGCATTTTTTCTGAAACCTACCTATATATTCTGACTTGGCATTTGACGACGCTTCCCTGATGGTCAAGGTTTAGCTTTACGGTTTTTGCATTTCTATTTAATTCTCTGGTGTTTTTAGAGTGATGTAGCGGTATTGAAATTGCCTTCCTGTACAGTGTTATTAAATATTATATTCATCGTTAGTTATTGTTTTTATATCCTTGCTTAACTAATCATTACTTCTAGTTACTCTTTATTACCCTGAGTTATTAATCATTACCTCAATTACAGGAAGCGACTACAGCAAGGCACCGTCTGAGTATCGTCACCAGCCTTCTGATGCCCACCTCAATGACGAACCCGTCTACCAGCCCATACCTGGACCCATGGTGCTCGGTGACAGGTGCGTACCATACCAGCCCATACCTGGACCCATGGTGCTCGGTGACAGGTGCGTACC